CAAAATCGATCACTTCTTTGCAAAGTTGCAAAAAKTTAGGATTCAGTGAGATTTAATTGATAGTTTCAGGTTTCTAWRATTTAACTGTTTGCTCCAGACCGTGAAAGTTTCWAGTTTCTACTTGCTGTAGGTTGCAAGTTGCGAATTTTTTAATGGGASCGTGCCGTTGTGRAAATCCTTCATTCTTAGACTAATCAGGATTTAATTTAATTGARTTCACATTTTCAGGGATTTTTTGTCGAAGTGTCTTTAGTGAACTGTGAAGTTTCCCAGTGGATAAGTTGTGATTTTTCAATAAGAACGTACGGTTGAGGGAATTCTAATAATCCATTCGCAGATCAGCGTTTACAGATTGGGTAAAAATCAGCATTTAATGCAATTTGGATGAAACTTTCATCGCAATTAGACCTAAGTATCTTCTACAGACTGTAAAAATTTCAAGTCGATGTATGTTCTGGGTTAGAAGTTATTAATTTGTCAAGCGCATGGCGTTGATTTGCGGAAGTGTTAATGTTGAGACCAAGATTTATCAAGTCGGGAAAAATTCGGGCTTGATGCGATTTGATTTGAATTTGGCGAAGGTTTAGATTTAGGTTTTGGCCATAAACTGTGCAAATTTGAACTTGCTTATTGCCCGAGGTTAAAAGTTATGAACATTCCAAAAATGCACATAGTGGCGTGTGATATATTGATCCAAAACGCCCCAGTGGGCAATTTTCCTCCCCCCTTTTCCTCGAGTGGAAATGTGCGCATATTAGATCGTTCTTTTGGGACACTCGGAAGGTAATTCACATATTAATTAGGCATTTCGGGCCCTGGGAGTCCTCGAGGTTTAAAAGGTCAGGCCGAATCAAGCCAATGAAAGTCCCATTGGGGAGACCAATTGAAGTCGTTGCAAGTCGGTTTTCGATGCGAATATTTGAATACAGGGTGCCAATATAACATCCTTTCTACAGAGATGTATCTATCCCCGAAGAATAGCCCCCAAGAAATAGTTTTTTCGTAATTTTTGTGTTTTTAATTGTTTCTTCTTATGGTACAAGCACAACGGGGCTTCATTTTAGTGTTGTGCGAGATCATCCAAGCAATGTTTTTCCAATTGAGAAAGACTTGTGGCTTAGCCGCCCCGTTCTCCCGGCTTAAATCCATTAAATTTCTGTCTCTGGAGCCACTTGGTTGTGACTTGGTTTGTACTTCTTGGACAGTAGAATTTCCAATAGAAAATCTTTGTTCTTTTGTCACCCTGCATATGTATATAATAATGTTGAATGTTGGTAGGATTCAGCAAAGTGTTTCTCACTTATCCAGTTCTGGCCGTCTTCGGAGTAAATTGGCCACAAGCCGGCTGGCGTACGAAAACAAGAGAAAATCAGACAGAAACGCGCTTCTCTCTACGAGAGTTCCACGCTTTCCTTTTGTATCGTCGAGGAAGCAGTTTGTCAAAGTGCCAAGACACTTAACTGTATTAACATCAAAGCTCGTGGGCGCGTTTATTCATGATGGTAATGGAAATATTCAAATTTCCTCGTTTTTCCTTGTGCATTGTAACACTCCAAACCCTCATGCAACAACTGATTGGCTTCAAGTCGCAAAAAGCGCGATAACCGAATTTACGAGCAGTGTCGGCCGGAGTCCTTTAAAATGGATCATCCGTTACGAGTTTAGCATAATCCGTGCCGACGAAGACATTAAAAACGATGTAAAGCCGCTGCGGAATTGAGCCGTTGCCCCGGAATTATGGCCAAAAGGCTCGAAAGTAACACTACTCGATGGCGGATTTCTGCCATAAATCTTAACCTTGGCCCGAAGTTTCTGTCACTTTTAAGTTCGGTTTCTCGTAAGGCGTCCCCATTCATCGCTAAGTTATTCCATCCGATTTTCCCAGCCAATTCTTACACCCTTAAATCACTTTGTTGTTCGACAATCGCTTATTGATTCCATACCTCAATTCATTGAAATAGGAATAACACATATGTTCCCCCATTGTTCCAAAAAGTCTAGATGGTTTAGATCAGGCGATCCAGCAGGCCCAGTTATTGTCTCCTTATTCATCTGATTTCAGTATTTCCTCACAAGTACTTCACGCCTCTTATGTGAGTTTGTAGTGTCTTTTCATACAAAAAGTCCAAATAAACTTCCCCATTTAATCGTTAATCGGTTTAAACTGACTCGTCCTGTTGATTTTCTATCAGGATTGCCCATGGTCCGCTGCTTAAAAAGTCTAGATGGTTTAGATCAGGCGATCGATCAGGCTGCCCTAAGACATTTTTTGGGGAAATGTGGGTTTTCATGCTTTTTCCATTCGCATGTTCTGGAAGATTTACCAGAATATGCCACATTAAGCAGAAGGCAGGTTGTGCCATTAGAGCCACTGCTAAGTCACGGTACATTGCACGAGCTGGACGAACGATCCCTAATGGCTGCACTTGGTTGAATATTCCCGCGATTCTATTCCATTCCATTCCGGCTAGAAAAATCAATTTAAACATAATATTCCGGCGTATTTCGCGTCGGGCTCAATTTTTCTATATATTTCCCCACATCGTAACGACCTGGATAATGCTAAACATGCAGACTCGACGAAGCGGCCCCGGATTCTGCCATCTGTGGAATAAGATGGAACGCATTCAAAAATGTTGTGCTTTTGTGTGTGTAAAAATAAAAATGGAAATTCCCCAGGTTTACACAATTCATGCTTGATTTCCGCGGCCATTCAGTCGTGGCGAAAGATTAGCCAACCCTGTGTTTAGTGGGGAACTTTTCCCCTTGCACGTAGCGTTCAAATAAGCCTCCATATCACATTGCGAGCCCCCCAGGTTATCTAGGAACATTATTTATTAATTTTCATTATGTTCTTGACTGCTTCGCTCCAGCCCTTTAGGCAAACAGCCGAATTTTTTGTCTTTGCTACAAAGGTTTCGTTTTTAGGATCACTTGAATTATACAGTCTGCCCAATTCATTTGGCACTGACGTCACCATTTCAGATTCTTCAGTTTCTCATTTTTTTTAGTTTCGTTAGTAATTTGCGTCAATTGTGCAGTTCTGGTCCTTAAGCGTATTAAACACACATACAACTAGAAAATGTATCGGTAAATTGAATGAAAACTTCACAGAAACTGCCAACAATCGCCAAGAAATCAAATCAATAATATGAAAATTATTTAATTCTTTCGCGAATTGTGACCATTTATTTAATAAAACACGTTGAAAGTATCAAAACTCCATCTGGCTCGGTGAATAAGTAATAGAAACATAACGATAGTTATTGCGTCACTACCAAAAAACTTGGGTCAGATCATTAGATGCAATTCCTTATAATAGTTTTCGTTTTAGCCTGGTGGGCTTCCAGGAAAAAACATTCGTATACATTTTCTTTAATAGAAAAAAATTGTCGCCCGGGTTTCTACTGGCGACGCCATCTTCAGCCAAGTCCAGCTAACCTCAGTATTGATTAAATATTCCACCGCATACAGACTTCTTCGCAACGTTGTCACCTCTTCACTCATCCACCGAACCTTACATCTCTACTCTGCCATTTGTCAATTCATGTCAGAAGCCAGAAGTGGATAGCCATAACAGTCTTTGCGGCGAAGTTTGTATCGAAGTTTTCGGGTTTTCTATGAACTTTAACTGAATTTTGCTAATTTTCGGCCACAAAAATGAGCGGGGATACCAACAAGACTGAACAATTCGACTCGTTGTTTCTTACCATCGCCCAACATCATCCTGAAGGTGCCCACCAGGTACTGGACCCCCAAACACTGTTACTCACCAAAAAAGCCCACTAATCTCGTCTGTTTCAGCTCCTGGACACCTTCGTGAGCTTCCTCGGTCGAAAGACTGACTTTTTCACCGGTGGAAGCAGAGGCGACTGGGAAAAGGTCAGTTAAAGAAATGCTAGGTTAGTTTTGCAACCAGAATTTTCACTGTTTGTATTGATTGCAGCTGGTGATGAACACCTTCAGGCGCCAGGAGGAGATTAGCTGCGCCCAACACGAAGCTGAATTGAAAGCTAAGCGTGAGAAAGAGCAAGCCAAGAAGGCGAAGCTGGTCGAACAGCAACAGAAAGAGGAGAGTGTAAAGCCTGCAGAGATTACCGAGCTCACGGATGTTGAGGCCGAAAGGCTCCAGAAGGAGATTGATGATAAGAAGAGCAGTGCTGCTGAGCCAGTTGAGGAGGAAGAGGACGAGTCGGAGAAGGGCAAGCTGAAGCCCAACAGTGGCAATGGGTGCGACTTGGATAAGTACAAATGGACGCAAACTCTGCAGGATATTGAGGTGAGTGTTAGTTTGCTTTGCTCGGGAATTGGCATCTTTGGGTTAAGTAAGGTTGCCAGGTTTTTCCTCGATGCTGGTCTTACTGGGTCCTAATCTGGCTGTTTAACAGCCACCAAATTATGGATCTACGTTTTTTCTTTACAAACGCTTCAGTTAATCTTTACCAATGTTTTTGGCTAAGTATAGGTGATATTTTATTCGGGGCAACACTGAGGATTTGTAAAAACTGTCCATTCTGGACGACTTTTATGTAAAAGCTTGGATTCTAGTCTGGGCAAAGACCCTTCTAGTCGCCTGTCCAAACAAGTCTGTGATAAAATGTCGATTTGCTTGAAAGGTTCACAACACACAAAAAAAGGAAAGATGCTAAACAGCTTGATCTATTGACTAGTAAAAAGAAAGTTATGTTTTTGATTCATAATTACACGTTTTAAGGCCAAACTTTCCTGAAAGAATTGCACGAAATTTAAGAAACTTGAGAGCTTTTCTAGTAATAAAGCCACCAAATCTCTAGCCAGTAGAAGACTTGTCGTTTTTTCAGTTTGTTTCAGTTTAAAAAGCCCAGAGCGTCAATGTTGAAATGAAACACTTTGTAAACACCTAGAAAAATTGCGAAGACTTGTAGTGAGTGTAGCTCCTAATGAGGAAAAGTTTACAAAGACGGTCAATTTTTTCTTTGCTTGTTAAGGAGGAATTTTGCAGGTTTCAAAAAAAGTCACTGTCGATTTCACTATCTAATTACTTTCCAGAATTCTGCTACATGGCAGCCCTGATACATAAATAATTATAAATACTGTACAATTAAGCTAAAAAGTCCCTACATCGATGTTTTACCTAAGTATCACAGGAACACTGTCTGTGTAGCCACCAACGCTCTGTATATAAACAAGAGGGTGGGTTTTTACATACATTTCACTGGGAGATTCCCCACTATTGGTCCAACAAGCGGACTCCTACTCCCTGTTTGTATTTCGGCTACTTGTAACGTAAACTGCTTAAAAACTAGTAACTAAGAAGTTTTTAAGTGTAGTTGCGCTTGTAGTTTAAATTTTAAAGAAAAAGGCAGTGATTAAAGGCCGGCAGGTGCGTGTTGAGAACAGTGTCTTTGTGAATGATTGAAAGCCGCAGTGGCAAGTTGGACGTTCTGGTTTCTAACAATGAGGGCTTGGCTTGCAGTCATTCACAAGAACAGTGTAAGATGGCACATACTATTTGGAACTATTTGGAATAACCTAGTTGATGACACTGGGGCGCACACTAATCAGTAGATCTTCATTTAAGTAATGCCACTGCTGGATTGCTTCTCCACTTAAACTACTGGGATTATTTGGCTGGGGTCAGTATCTTCTTTGGTCGCGAGCCCTCACTGTAACAAACATGTTCGGTTAGAAAGTTGAGGACTCAATAGCAACTTACTCACTTTCCATTACGTAAATGGCGGCCAGTATTCCAATGGTGAATAGGGCGGACATGCTGAGTACCAAGATGGTAAGCTGGTGCTTTCGACAGCAGCTCCTCTTCGGTACCCGGGGTGGTCGCGAATTCATGTTGACCACGGTGAAGTGCATGGAACTTGCTATCGAAACGTTGTCGGGTTCGGGCTGTTTGCACGCTTTGGGCAGAGCGGCGATCAGTTCGCTGGTTTTGTTCGCCTGATCCAGATAGTACTGGATGTTGATGTCGCGAGCACTAAGCTTCTCTTCATCCTGATGAATCTGGGCTAGATTGGTCGCTGTCAGCAATTGCGAGCCTGATTTGGCACTCTGAGAGGAATCATTCGTGAGTCTCCCTATTGGATTTCTGAGCAGTTACTTACCTGGCTGCTGTTATTGCTGGACGTGGAGCCCTGCGAACTGTGGGAGCTTCGAGCTAGTGTGGGTCTGGGAATGTGCCAACTCTTGTCGAGATCTGCGGGGATCTGGAATTCCAAGCAAATAACCGATAATCGTTGCGTAATTTTGTGGTTCAGGAAGTGTTTGGACTTGCTCATGGCTTGCAAGAACTTGTTTCGCAACTAGGAAGACTGATGTGGTTTTTTAATCCAGTTGGAATTTGTAATTATATTGATTGGCACGTGGGCAGCGATCTGTTTGAGTAAAACCAAAACACCTGATTTTTGCCCGCAAAGCGGTAATTTTCTGTGTGTGACACTCAAACGAACAATTTCAATACAAGTGGGAATTGTTGCTGGCTGGTTTAATGATATTCACTCCATTTGGAGACGTTCGTTCTTGTAAACGGATTAGCTCGACAATAGAATTCCCATAAACACTTCCTGATGGTTTGCGGTCTGTTTAAGGCGTTTTTGACGCCGAAATGGTCTTGAATCCAACGACATTGTTTTGTATGATTGTACAAGATGCGTCAATGGACAGGCAGGCCGGCAGGGTCAACAGCTATCTGGTTGTGACTGTATCAGATGCTCCTGTTAGGTCCGGCCTTGGTTGAGCGAATTTTCGCATTCAAAGTTCAAATTCACACGAATTATCATAAATTATGCCGGTGATATTGAAGTGGTTCTTGTGCAATCCGGAAGGTTAGTCTTATTGCAAAATGTGTCTGAATTCGACGATCGTGCAAACATGCAAGATTTCAGCCGAAAAAACGTGACCAACTTCCCTGCTGACTCGTTAGGACTGTTAAGGTCAAGTGTTGCCTACTGGGAAACGATCGGGCATTTCCTCCTAGTTAATCCGACATTGCCCAGAGAATTAGCACCTGTTTTTCGCCCAAATTTCTGAGTCCCCGAACGAACGACCTTGCCTGATGAATATTGATGCGGTCGATCATTGACGATGTTGTTTACGGTTCTCCGACATCGTTTCCCTTTATCATATGTGATTAATAAATGAGTATAGCGAATGTTTTGGCGTCTTCGAGATCAAACGGTAAAAATCCACGAATTATTTTGCCGGAATTCCGAGAATTGGGAAACCCAGCTATTCGGGCCTCACCACAGGACTGGTTTACATCCTGGTGACTTTTGTAGGAGATGTGGGTTTTACGTGCCAAACTCGATTCTGTTTGGTGGACATGTTCAAGAAAAACACACGGTTGCCTACGGCTTGAGCAATAGTGAGCGTCCTCGTCATTGGGTTTAAAGCCGATTTTCGGTGGTCAATGCGGAGAAAACGAAGATGGTTGCACACTTTGATTTCTGCAAGACTGCAGCCACACCATGGCCGTCTTCAGCATGTGAAAGCGCTCTTGAAATGTATCTGTGATTTCGCATTGTTAGATAATCACTCTCGAGCCGAGAAAGTTTAAGGGCATCGGTTACGTCGTGGTTTTAACCGAAAGAACATCAATGAAACACTCCCAGGTGCTGACTTTATGCGGTTTTCTGTTGAAGAGTAGGTAATCACTTGGGAAATTTGGCTTCTTCAACAAGAATTAATATCCTTTATAAGGTGTGTTGTATTGTATTCATTTGCTTTTCCTGTTGGTGTTTTTGCGGTTTGTAAGTGGTTCATAGTACTGTAGCCTGGTCTAAAATCCACTTATTGCCTGGGTTGATATGGATCCAATTTATTGGTTTATAGTTATCGAGCTTGTACTTAAACTCCTTAGTTTATAGTTCATTTCTTCGCATCCTACATTTGTGGCCCTATTTTTTCTTCTTTTGCTGGTGAAGGTGTTTTCTTAGCCTCGTAAAGTGATTTATAATATTTTTCCCCTGTTCTTGTTAGTTCTTCCCCCTGAGGAACCTCTTCTCCGTCGTCATTTAATAACTTTGTTATTTGTGGTTTTCTTTCGTTCATTTCTGCCTATAGTTTAGACTTCTTGTTCGTTCTTTAACTAGTTGATGAGTTTCCTGACTTGGTTGTAGTTCGGGGTTTTTTTATTCGGTATTATTGCCTCAGCTGCTTTTAGTAGGTTTCTTGTTTATGGTGTCTATGTCCGAATCTTGTTCCCCTGCATGTGTTCGTGAACGATCTCCGCGTGTTTCATCATCTTCACCCTATATTCTTTTATTTTCAAGTACTGATTATCAGTTTCCTTCTTGGTTTTTGTGTGTTAATTCTTATTTTCGCCCTCGACATCCTGTGGTCGCTGCCATGTTTATCGTGTTTAGCACTGACTGGTTAGATCCTTACATTTTCGTCTAGACTTTACCAGGTCCAGGGCCTTGTGGTTTTTTTATACGTGTTTATTAGACACAGGTTTCTTCGCTAGCATAATCTATCAGCATTTCGCCTCTGCTATTTCTTATTCCTCGTCCCAAGAGGCCTAAATATGCGTTTCTGGTTGGGGTTTTCTTTTATTCCTACTTTCGCGAATTATCCCATAATTAATGTTTATTTTGTCTTGTTTTTGTTCAACACTAATGTTTTGGTAGAATATTTTCTTTTTTTTTCCAATGCGTTTGTGAAATAGTTTGAAGATTGTTATGCAATTTTCGCCCTTTCTTCTCACTTCTGGTAGTCATTTTGTGGTCCATTTTCATTAATCGCAACCTGATTTGATCTACATTGCACTGTTACAATTTAAAATTGGCCTACACTGTCTGACGTCATCAGTTGCTTAGAGTTCAGCACTGAGCAAATCAACTCAAAAATGTCAATATTCTTCCACGACTTGCACCAATTTCTCTCGCTCGGAGAACAAGTAATAGAAAAAGAACGCTGATTATTGCGTCACTGCCAAAACACTTGGGGCAGATTATAGTGGCTGAGTTAATTAACTTCACTAGTGATTAACGAAAAGAATGTGCATTGCGCCAAAGGTCAACAGTAGTTGGCTATTTTAGTGCGGCCAAACCAATGAATGGGCAATAAGGTCTCGTGCCATAACCATGCATACATACATGCGCTGCGAAGCAAGAAAGGAATTCGAAATGGGTTTTTCTTAGCCTTCCGCAAGTTGACACAACCGGACAAAGTCTGATTCATTGACTAGAGCTGCTCGGTTAAGTAATTTATGCACTGAGTGTTTGCTTGCAAACGCCACCAGCTGGAGGAGAAGCTAATTGGACAAAGAAGCGACCTCAGGTGTTGCTTGCCGATCAGATGAAATTATTTATTGCGCTAGATTTCTTGTGGGTTTCGTAGGCGACAAGGTAGACCTCATGTCCGAGTTGGACTGGGATAAACAACGAAAATTTCATCAAGTTGTTGCAAGAACCACCTTTGACTGAAACTGAACCGACACGATGTTCGTTCCGACCGAAATAGGTCACAGCAACCATTTACAACAATTATTATTTTTGTTGTTGTTATTATTATTATTAGAACTACAATATAAAAGCGTTCACCTTGATGAGCCGGCGTGTGTCTTATCTAATTTTGCTCGAAACGCGCCGAAATTGTGTAATGCATAAACATCAACACAAACACAACACAATCTATTGTTTCGGGTCGAAGTAAACGTGAGGATGTTGATTGGATTCGCGTTTAGTTTCTATTTCTACTTCGTTCATTTCACTGTTTTACCTGTGAAAGACAAAGGGTTGCATTCTTAGGCGAGTTCTTGTGTATGTGGGATTTTTTGTTGAAAACTGCAACTTTTCCTTTGATTGACTAGTGCTATTGCTGGGCTCGGTTTCTCTTAATTGCGTTAAGCAATCGCGATTTAGCATCGATTTTAATCTAGATGGGGGCCCCAAGTTTACGGCCCAGTTATTAATTAATGGAATGCAAATCGGGCGAATATCGTGGGCTAATTGGCGCGCATTGTACAAACACAATGATATGCTTTGCCGACCTTTCTGGCTTTTTAGCAAATCGAGAATGGTGGTGGCTGAGGCAACATTACAGCTATTACGAAACCTATTGTTCCATTTTTTTGCTTTTTCTCCTGCCCGTCTAGCCTTCGAAAATGCGGAAAAATCGCCCCATTCTTCGGTGCCGATTCAGCATGAAAAATCCGTTTTGCAATGTCTGCAAGCAAATACGACTTTTTCGCCGGAAATTTCAAATGTTTGGCGATCCTTTTTTAACTTTCGGGTGTCTAGAGCTCTTCTTTTGAGGATCTTCAAATGGTGAACGCCCCGAAATGTAAGTCAGTGTTCCGTTATATTTCGAAGGAGGCAACAAACCATCGAGAAAATAATTTGAATTTTGTACAAGAACATGTTTACCACTGAAGACACTTACGCTATCCGGGACAAAACTCTGATTATCCATTCTGCTAGATTGAGTAGACTTGGAGGATCAACAAGAGGTACCTTCGTCTAGGAATACCATCCACTACACACCACTCTCTTCGACTCGTGTTCGGAACCGTTTGCGACGCTCTGGCGCTCGATAGGCGCGAAAGGTGCTGCCGTTACTGAACCAGCGCCGATTGCAACTCGTCTTAAGTAACCTCCGGGTACCGTCGTGGTACTGGAGAGCGTCGCGCCCGCGTTGCCGGTTCGAGTAGAACCTTGGCTGAAAAACTTCGGGTTCTTCAACAATCCCTTTGCTCTCCGATTGCTCAAAACTCCCATCGGGTGTGGACCAAGCAAAACGAAATAATTGGCATCCGTTTTTGTGCAAGCCGGCAACGTAAAAGTACCAGACGAAGCCTCACTTGCGGGTTTCCGGATCTGTGCTAATTTAATCTGGGAATTCGAGCTGTTTCGTTTTATGTCACCTTACGGTCCCGGACATTGGTCATAGTGGGTTTTTCTCAGCTCTGGACGCAATCGAACATGATCTAATTGGTGTGATGGTGGCTGATCAGTTTTCCGCACAGAGTCGCTACGTTTCGAGCCGCACGTCTGCTTGGTTGGTTGGTTCCTCATTGTCATGGCAAAAAAATTCCGGCGTTGCACAATAGCGGGTTCTGTCAGTATCGAAGCGGATTACGCCACATGGGTACCAATACAATGCCCGCATTTTGCACATTCATAAACAACACCTTTTTTTACACACTAGCCCACAGGGTCAACGATGTGCGGAACCCATTCGATGAAGACAATTTCGGTCATTTGCTGCATGCTTATGTAAACAGAGGTAATCACATTTGAGCATGAACAGGAGCCTTTAACTTTAAAAACTATAAGATAATCAAATGCTAGTCGAATTGATAAAACTACCATTTTGTTTGGTCTGGCCAGTATTTTCAGATTCAATTCGAAAAACATCCGGAATTTCCGGGTTTTCTGAGTAAAAAGTCATAGGTCTAGGCAACACTGCTGCTCTGTGCGTTAACGAGTTATAACCCATCGGTTAATGCGTTACAACACCCGCACTGCGCCAAAGCCTGAAAACTTACTGAGTAGCCCAGGCCTAAATCCAATCCGAGGGTTTTTGGCTCTAAGCCAGCGTCGTGCCCGAAGGGTTTTGCACAACTTCGACAGTCCGAACTGTCTAATGTATTTGTTGGGCCGAGCCCTGCGGGCACGACACTGGTTTTTCGAAAAAACCAATCTAGGGGCCAGGGGAGTTTTTCGGGTTTCCCATCCTGAGAAGAAAGTGCGCTCTTTCCAATGCACGATACGGCATCAAGCCTTCTCACTCGCGTTGGCAGAAATTGTTTTCTTTATTAGCGCAACTTTGGTTTAACTTCTTTTGAACCAATGTCGAGGCCAGAAACACTGTAAACTTGTCAATTGATTAGTGTTTGCCCAAAAATATTTCGGTCGCCCTCAAAGATCTCCGCCCCACTTTACCTCGCAACAAACTCCTTTCTGATCGCTCAAAAACGAGAAAATCTTGAACGTCACTGGAGCAAATTTGACTACTGGCGTAGGCCTGGGTTGCACTGTGTTGAGCTGTTGCCGCTCTCTGAGTTAATGAGTTATAATGCATCGGTTAATGAGTTATAACTTCAACACCTGAAAAAATAAGGTTACCACATTTTTTACGAGTAACGTTTTACTCCAAGTAGGTGCTGCGCCAGCGTTGGGTTGGCGCACCAAGCCATTCTAACAACACTGCGCCAACTCTTCAAAATTCACTGAGTTACCCATGCCTAGTGTGTCATAGTCTCTTCAGTAAATCAAAGACGAATAGATCATAAAGAGCGTTGACGCGTTGTATTGAAGCGACAAGCCGTTTTGGTATTAGTGCGCCAACACCTCAAAATGCACAGGGTTGCACAGGCCCAATATGAGGCAATAAATTGCATAAGAGCCAATAACTCAGCGATTTGCGGGTTACGGTCAGCATAAGCCAGTCGATTACGCGCATGCAGCGGCCTTTTCTCGTAAAAAATGAGTCCGGGAATTTAAAGGAAAAAAATCCCATACTCGATCACTTCCTTCTTAATCGATAACTGGCAATTACTAAGCGAAGGCTGGAGGACCGATTGATATTTTATTGGCCAATAAAGTGCCGACGACGTCACCATGGCTTTTCAAATAGAAAGCAAAAGAGGAAGAAATCATCAAAGAGTAGAAACAAAGCTCTAATTAATTAGTTAATTGATTGAATCAATTTCGGTGCCCATCCCAGAAACCTTGACTCTCGCGTACGTATGTTAATGTTCTAATTAGAGCGATCTATTGAACGAAGAAAAAACCCATTGCGAATTGTGATGGTCGGGCTGGGACATGGGCGGAACACTTCCGCAGTTGTTAATCATTTACCGATCAATTTGGTGTCGATTTTGGTGGCTTGGTGCGTGAGTGAGCCTGCCAAGCCACCTTATGAAGCAAAGCGGCTAGTGTTTGTTTTTAAACAGTTTACATGGTCAAAAGCTGTCAGATGCACTCAAGTGGGATTCAACAGATAAAATCCCCAATTATTGCAATTAGTGATTTCCCGCTAATTACGTGACGTAATAGCTGTTGGTCGGTTGCATAACAAAATCCGGTACAAAATCGATATATTTTTGTGCGATGCATTCCGATGAAGATCGATGTTTAATTAAGCTTCGCAAGTGCATCAGTTTCGGCGAATCGGCCATTTGAATTGCGCATTGGCCTGCCCGACCACCAGATCCGAACACTATGGATTGCCGCGAATAAAGCGCGCATTGGTAATAGTGGCTGTTGCATTTTATTATAATAAATATAGTTCGGCAAGGTTTTGCATAAGCATAATTTATTGGAAGCACGGCCGTCGCAGCCACTTGAATAAATAGCGCGCTCATTTTTCGCCTCAAGTACGACAATATATTGTCGAGGATCCAAGGCGAGTTGTCAACCCATTATGAGAAGCCGCTTTTCAGTTATCTTCAGCCAGAGCAGGGTGTTTGTAGCCAAGAAGTATTAACAAGGGGGTTCGCTTGAAGGGTAAGGTTCAAATAACCCACCCTAAACCCGGATTTTTTCAAAGACAAATCAGGTGTATGTACATGTGTACGAGGTCTGCTGACGGACTTGACCTGAATATGTGGTTGAGGTCCAGTGAGTTTAGCAGCGACGTTGACGGTCGCAGGAACGCAGACAATGGCTAATGAACATTAGATATGTGGTAAACATTTAAATATCCACACTTAAACGAAATTTATATCAGCATTAGTTGTATTGTTGACTGTGAGTGTTTCAAAGCCATCAGGCCTATTACATGGATGGATGCGCTCGTGCTATTTATGCAAAGGATCAACTATTCGCCTGTTCGCTTTCGACCAAAGATATAAAACAGTAAAGCTGCGGTCCGAGCTTTTGCGAATCCGGGTTGAAAGCAACGAGGAACACGCCGCAAAATCTCTCGCAAAACAATAACGGAATCGCCGCTCATGGTCGCCGAGCGAATTTTGACAATTCGGCTCTTCACACACCACAAACACACAATGCAATTAAACTCGAATTAATTGGATTCGATAGTTTATCGTTTTTTCCGCATGCCTGCGGTGCGCTCATAATGTGCGTACATTGCGCAACATGTTTAGTGTTTTGGGATTGACCAACTTGAATGGGCAAATGCTGGCTGGGTGCAAACTGCACTTGATAACCTCAGAACTGGTAAACTCGTAAAATATGCGGCTCGAAGGACCAACTACTTGCTCATGATTGCTGCATTTGCAAATTGCCTTGTGCCTGATTTATGCACGTCCTGTTAAACACAGATCTTGACAAAGATTATTAAAAAATGCCTAACTCCGAGCCCAGAGAAGGCGGCAAGTTGAATTGTGCACACCCTATAGAAGACACTTAACTTTTGAAATTGGAAATTTCATTCAAATGGCACTTTAACCTGATTTTTGAGTGCTCCATAAACACAGGTTTAGAAATGGAATGAATGTTAGTTGAAACTTGAACACCCTATAAAAGACACTTGACTCTCTAACTTTTAAAAGTTTTGTGCACTAAAAACGCATTTTGCGCGTTCCATTGACGCAACTTTAGCAATGGAAAGCTAAACTCAACTGCCCG